GGGGGGGGGGGGGGGGCAAAGGGCGTGTGAGCACAGCAAGTGATGTTCACGTTCCGGGTACATGTTATATAGAGGAAATGGTTAGAGATCCACACACTTTCGTAAACATACCCACAAGAACAGCATGTGGTGCTCGGAGTAGTCTACAGCAGTAGGGCCTTAACAAGTTAGAGAGTGTTGCAGTGGCACACGAAGAAAAGGCTGATGTTGCCTTGGGAATATATAAGTCTGAGACATCATAGCTTTATTGTTGACTGGGCGACAGCATTCGAAGTATTCAACTTTGAATCAACCAATGGGCGTTCTGCACTCAAGAGGCCAAAAGAAACGCCACTGAAATACTGCTTTAGTGTTACGTGGCGAGTCCCCCGAGTGATTGTCCGCACATCAGGCAGACAGTTCCCCCAAGTGCGAAAAACGCGTTACGGCAACCACACCGAACGTCCCTTTCCTCCCCTCAGAAATCACGCTGGTGGGGGGCCACCACGGCCAGGTTTCAGCGTGTGAAGGTAGTGAGTTCTCAGCAGCTCTCGCTGTTATGGGAATTAAATAATGCCGAACCTTCGACAGACAAGCAGTGCAAGGTATTCCTTCGTGAGGTAGTACAGATTGTGACTGATTCGTTCGCTGTGTACCGCTTTACCAAAAAATTCGAACCAAACGAAGGCAACTACATTGATGTCATCATCCACTTGTAGTCAGTGAGGACATGAACTATTCGACGCGTTGTGGACATTGCTGTAAGCCCAGCAGCGCAGGAAACCAGAAGTATATCACAGGAGAAACGAAGGAGCACCGCACTTAACACGAGTTACACGGCACATCATTTTGCCTCTAGAGTGCCGTTTAGGGGCCTTGGGTACGCCGCATAGTCTGTGTACGCCACCACGGGGACAAACGTTTGCGTCAAGCGCACTTTTTACAGTTGACACTGCAAGGAATGCGAGATTCGAACCCACGCCCATACATCAGAAGGTTGCGAGGTGACCAACTCAACCACTCAAGGCACTGCTGTTGCTGCTGGTGACCGACCTTACCATTAAGGGGGAATGGCCAGAAGCGGGCATGCATACAACCCACAGACCCACAACCCTCTCTCGGGACGCTCTCGAAAATTTGATGCCACGTGTAACGACAACAACGCGACCTCCCTTTGGATAGGTGGCACACGAACATGGCGATAACCCTCAACGGAAATAACTAATGTGAACGTCGTCCTTCAAGGGTCTTTCTTGGTTAACCAGGTAGTGTCTACCCCTCGTGGTCGTGGGAGTCGGCGCCACGGGATGCAGCTTGGCCCGTCGGTGCGGTCCGACTTCAACGCACCGGTTGTTCTTCCCGTGGAAACAGATTTCGACAAACAAATCAACCCCAGCAGCAGCGAGCATTCGAACGAAGAAACCAAGGGAGTCAAGCGCCACACGGGAAGGCTTCCCTGTTCCAAACAGCGTCGATCGGAGGAGCGCAGTCACTACAACCTGTTGGCGTGGTGATGCTGGCCCTCTCTGTCGCTCACCGTTCAGGACGAAGCTGAAGTGCCATCGACCGGTCACATTTTCATCCTGTGGAGACACGTAGTCGACTCCCGTTATCTTCTCCTGGAGGTACCCCCAATACAGGAATGACGAATACAGGCCCGCCGCTGCGGATACCAGCTTGACTTCGGAGGAAACCACCATCGCGTTGTGTGAAACGACACGCAGCTGGTTGTGGGTGTGAGGTGACAGCGCAGTGTTATTTGGTTTGCAGAATTCCTCTAAATTTGCGCCGTTGGGGGGCACGCAGAGGGGGTGAACCTCCCCTCTACGAACCCCCGAAACCACTTGGCTTTTGTGTATCCACAAAGCTTCGGCACACGGAAGCCGATAGCTCGGCCATCAGGAGGTGATCCCAAACAGGACTTCGAGGTCGTGTGGATCAGGTATGGAACTAAAGATATGGCCCCTCTCTGGAACGTGATGCTACTTCTAGCACTAGATCTTGGCATCGCACAGAAAGGTCCAATATGCAGCACAGGGTACGCAGCGGACAAATAGCGTTTGAATTCGCATAGATGCACATGGCGCTACCTCGTGGCCCCGCTCTAGCCCAAAGTCGCCTCCACCCCTGTGCGAGTGCCGGGGATCATTGGACTAGCCCACGATAAGAACGTGTGTTAGCGTTAGCACAATACGCACGGTCCACGGCAGCAAAGGCTCCGTGCTGGGTGTATTGTGTGCAGGAAGCGCCTGTGTGGTACGCCAGCACATGCATGACCACGAAGCACATGACACGCAGCACAGAGGGGCACACCCGTTGCGACCTAAGAACACCATGCACATGTGATGTCCAGTCGATGCGTAGCGTGCTTGAGGTCGAGGCCGTGGTCAATTGTTTCGCAGGGGTTGATTATTCTCTCCTGAACAATTATAAACACGAAATAAAATTACTTCGAAGTAGGTGGACTAGATTATTATAGTCTTTATTGTACTCTGTATCCTGCGTACTACTTTTTTTGTGTACAGCAGTCGTCTGCTGGGAGATCCTTGAGGGGACAGTTCATCAGCGCGTGTCCACCCACCCGTACGCGTTGCAGAATATATATTTTTTGAGGTTGATGAGGGATGATTGCATTTGACCACGTGTCTGATTGCCGGGGAGGCAGGTGCTTGCGATCAATACTACTGCAGCGGCTGCTGGGACGCTACCCCTCCCCCCTTTTGCCTGAGCTGATTCTCACGTTCCACGTCGCTATTTTGAGGAAGAAGAGTACTAGTCCCGACAGGGCTGTATCAGAGGTAGTTGACACATGGATGACAGTCGTGACAACTGATCGCGTACTCGGTGCGTACCAAGCTCAAACGTGAGTTGCAATGCCGTCCCGTCCCGCCTGTTCGCCGGATGGGTGTCTAGGCAGGAAAAGCATGCCTCGCAAGAACAGCAACAGGGTGGCGAACGTAAAGAAGAGGGCTCGTCGTCCCAAGGGGCGGCCGCCGGAGCGGGCGTGGGCGCAGACATTAGCGCAGATGAAAGCAGCAGCGGCAGCGGCGGCGCGGAGAAAGTCCCTTCGCACTCGGGGAGGCGAAACGTTTGTGCGCCTTCGAAACGGCGGCTTCAGTAACAGCTGCGGGCCCATCTGCTTGTTGCAACATGCGATGAGTGATAGCCTCCCGATTGCTACCATCGAGAGAGCCACCAATGGCGAGATCGCGTCTGAGGTACGAGGCGCCCTGCGGTACATTCGCGACATCACCGTCGACACCTCGCACGGCCACACCCTGAGTGTGCTCGACCCCGACGAGGAGCGTGAGGTTCACGGGTTCGAAGATCTGGTGGATTCCGCAGAGCGCGACATCCTTTCGAAGCCGATGTGGGACAAGATCATGCGCTGTCCGTACGGCTACTTCGATGGCAGGGCGATGATGATCGGGGCGGACGCTTTGGGTCTAGATGGTCTTCTGATAGTTCGGGTGGACAGCGCTGGATTTTTGGTGGCGATGGATGGGATGACGACCCCAGTTGCCGAAGCGAAGCATCTCGTCCTTTGGGACGGGTACGCTCACTTCGAAGCCCTTTTTCCTGACGAAGAGGTGTACCCGATGGGTGCATTCTTCGCCCACCCGTCCTAATCTCCACACAAACCACGCCTCCGTAGAGCTACATTTTCTCCCGCGGTACACGGCGCGAGGGAGCATTACAATACTGTGCGGGGGGTTATCCTTCAGCCACTGCCCTCTGGTTTTGGTGGGCTCAAGAAAAGTCAGCCTCAGCTTGAATGCCACCCCCACACGCCCAATCCTCAAAGCACGTTTCAAAATAGCGAAGGCGTGCTTGTATGGCGGGCTCGTCACGACCCACTCCGGGCGCCGCCCTTCCTCGCAGAAGGTATCCACAAATGTGTCCGTCGTGGCATCCATATGACTGTCTGCGACCAACCTGAGGAGGGTGACAAGGACCAGGAAAAGGCTTGATTTTAATAATGGAGAAACGGCACATTGAAGATTTAAATGACAGGATCGTCTGCCAATAAGGGTGGCTGATGCCCATGCTGTAGACTTTGTGTGTCCTATATATATATATATGCTAGTTTTTACGCCAAAAGATAACAAGGCTTCAACAAGACTTCGTAGTTCCAACAGGCACTTGGAATACAGTGATGGGCACCATGAAGACAAAAAAAAATAAACACATACAGACATACCTGGCATCGACGTCATTGGTTGTCACGCCGAAACCGTGGTCCTTTAGCACAGTGCTGACTGCGTCGTTGGTGCTGCCACAGCAATCGAGCACGCCACCGGCCATCTCCACGTGTTGCAGAAGAGCTCGAACCTGAAGTAGCATCCCGTGGGGCAAACGCAACGGTTGCATGAGACTTTCATATCATCTGCCTTATACCCCGGTCGTTATGCCTTGGGCACAGTAATTGCCTATTGTTCCGTGTCGCTAGAGTCGTTAACTTGTGCAGGCCCAACTTTCGCGAGGCAAGGCGTGGCAGCGGCTGCCGGAATGGATCCTGAGCACTACAACAGCAGAATCCTAGCACCCGTTGCTCTTATTTTTTGAAAGACGACAAGGTTCAGGATTCCGCTATAAATTAGAACTGAACAGTGTAATTATTACCTCGTTTGTATGAGAGACCACATAATAAGACCTCAAACCTAACGGCGTGTGCTCGGCAAGAGGGAGGAAGGAATAACTACAAGTATGATCGTCAAACTACAAGTATGATCGGCAGAAATTTGCAAACAAATGCGAACCCCTACTCCGCAACACTCTACCTCCGCAATAATCTACATCCACACCGTGTGTTGCGGCTATAAATGCGATGCCGAACAGCTTTTTGAAACTCTACAATCAAGGCGCCGTGGCGGATCCTACACAAGCCAGATTACAAATTATGCAACGGCGATGTGATGTGCGTACTGCTGTGGACGTGTCCGGAGATGATCCACACACATCTCGAGACCACATCACCTGCGAACCAGTCGACGGGTACCGGCCCGTACGTGAGGGCTGCCCGAGCTCCATCTTACTCCCTCCTCCTCTCTCTTGCTTCTTGCGATGGCACTTGAACAAGTTGTACATCTGGAAGACGCAGTCGGGGCGGGCACAGATGCACTCTCCAACGCGTAGAGGATCTTGAAGAAGGTCTCGAGCGTGACGCCACCCTTCCCCAACACTTGCAGACCACTCGCCGAGGTCCTCCCAGTGCTCCGTATCCGCTACGTGGTTCCACTTTCTCGAGGACCCGTCACGACTGCCGGGCCGATCGCACGCGAAGCATAGCCCGAGCCCCCCGTCTGCCGCTTCTTTACCATGCACAGCTTTGCCACAGATGGCGCGAGGACCCCGCGACATCGCCGAAAACCGGTGAATCTGCCGATTTCCAGCTGCTCACTAGATCACCGATTTCTAAGCCCTGCGAGAGAGATCCCTCACCAAACTTCAGCAGACGAAAGGAGATAACCTCAGCTACAGCCCCCCCCACCTGGTAGCAGCTAACTCTCCTGCTAGCACTAGATCAGGCTGCCTCTGACCGCCGCACCGAGTTGCTCCGCGTGCCAAAAATTTGCTCCCAAGCAGGTCTGCTGTGCTCACACAGCGCCGATTGACGGCGTTTCTCCTGGACTAACCCCTCGAGCTTTACTAACTCCGTGATCTGACGCGCTGTCGTAGTGTCTAGGGCGCGGTGGGTGGCTGCTATGGCTGGTTTTGTGAAAGTGTACGTCAGGGGGCTTTTCCGGGGTATGTGATTTTTGTTGATGAATACTGTGTGCGGATCCCCGGCGCAGTTGAGATTTTACGTTATCCGCCCATACTTCGCGCCTCGGGGACCGATTGGCTTCGTTCTTTTTCCTAAACCGTCCACACGTACCAAAGCTACAGGCAGGTCCTTTCTTCATCACCAACGGTGTGCTTCACGGCGACAACTCGTCGAAAAGGAGCGAAAATTTCCAGAGGAGCTCTGCAAACCAAATAACACTGAACCACCAAACGGAAATCGGCTTCGCTACTTCTCTAGCTATAGCATAGTAACAGATGATTGTAGATTGAGAAGAGCCATCTCCTCACCGTCTTCGCGCATGTTTGATTGACAGTTCCTTGTCTTTGCTCAAATAAGTAGGACTGCTGTCTGTGTGCCCCCTTCAAAAAAAAAAAAGCTATTCGGAGCACGCCGTTTTTTGTTGCTCCGCAGGGGGGTAACCCCAGGGTCTAACTGTATATACCGCTGGTTACGCTAGAGCCTTCTGATGCGGTTCATCTGGCGATGAGCCGTGGTGGTCAGGAGCCGCACACAAGTTGCGTGGCGTGTAGGTCGCTGGTGCGGCTGGGATACTGTATCCGGCCGTTATGATACATAAGCACACTTGTTACTTGAACCGGTTTCCACGTACGACTAGGGGTCGTTGGCATGGAATAACCGGTCGAAAAGGCACAAAGACACAACTCGATATACACAGGTGGTTATGGTACCACACTATGTATACCGCTGGTTACCCTAGAGCCTTCTGGAAACCACCGAACGAGCAAATTGTTGCATAACGGTGTGTGTAGCTTCTATATCGCTCCCGTGGCGCACCAAAGTGATGGCTTTGGTGCTGGCGCTGGTACGGGGAGCCAGAGCCAAAACACAGAAGGCTTGCATACGCGGAATGCACGAAAAAGCATAGGCTTTCCATCCGGTGGTGCCTGGTTCCCACTGGTGTGGGTTTTGGGGTTGTACACTAGCGGAGGTAGTGATGCCTGTTGGCGGTTTAAGTGGCATTCACGCATGCTGTACTAGTGTACATGGCGCTGCGTATCACTCGGTGTGAAATGCTTCGGGGGTTGCGAGATCAGCCTACGCTGGTTGAAATACGAGCGAGAGACGAGTACGCTGCATGCCAGGTGGCAGGTGCATTCCGTGCCGTGTTGTCGTTCTTACGCTCCCGATGTATATTTGCCCCCTTTGTTCCTTGTGATCAGGAGATTGATCGGTGCATCGGCGGCACGTCGGCCGGGAGCGGAGATTGAGCGGGGACAAGAACACCTCCGACGAGTCTGTGATTGGCCGCGAAGAGTATGAGGCGGAGCGGCAGGACATCGCCAATGAGCGGGCCGTCATCAGCGCCTCGGTGGAGGACCTAAAGGCCGACATGGCGGCGACGTTCGCGGAGGTGCTGGAAGCTATGCGTGCTCGGGGCGGCGGGGCCGCCGCTGGTGACGCTGCCGTAGTTGCACCAGCGCCCATGTATGGGGGCACGAGTGCAGCTGCCGGGGTGGCGCCGGCGCCCATGTATGGGGGCGCGAGTGCGGCTGGTTCCTCGGCCGGCTACGGGTTACACGGCGTGGAGGCAANGCCGTCATCAGCGCCTCGGTGGAGGACCTAAAGGCCGACATGGCGGCGACGTTCGCGGAGGTGCTGGAAGCTATGCGTGCTCGGGGCGGCGGGGCCGCCGCTGGTGACGCTGCCGTAGTTGCACCAGCGCCCATGTATGGGGGCACGAGTGCAGCTGCCGGGGTGGCGCCGGCGCCCATGTATGGGGGCGCGAGTGCGGCTGGTTCCTCGGCCGGCTACGGGTTACACGGCGTGGAGGCAAGTCCCGGGTTGCTGCAGGGCGCTGGTCGGTATGGCAGTGGGGGCGGCTTAGGCTTCTTTCCCGCGATTTCGTTCCCGTTTGGAGCGGGAGGCCTCAACATGGACTCCGGTGGGTAGGGGATGGGAACGGGGGTGTCGCATGCCCAGCGACGGATGGAAAAGGTGATCTCGGACCAGCGGGTGAACGCTTGAAGCTCGGCGAACAGTCGCATGTGGTGGGTGGTGATGGGATGTTTTCCGCCGAAGCTAGAGAAGCCGAGCCTGCAACAGTTAATGTTTGATAGTATTGAGGTCACGGACGTGGCGGCCGACATGCTCTTGAACTTCCGTGGCTTTGACACCGCTGCCTTCACGACCCGGGGGGCGGTTGGCGACCGTCTCCCCATCTCAACGCATTTGACCCTCATGGCGGGGGCTTTTATCACCATCGCTCGCCGGGGGATCGCCGACGAACCGAGGTTAGAGGCGGCGTCGCAAGCACGGGTGGATCGTGTCGAAGCATCGTTCCAGGCGGTCATCGACGACGTGGCGCGGCACGCTCGGGAGAATTACGCGGCCATCCAAGCGCAGCACAACCGAGACATCTTCTTGAGGTTCCTCGTCAAAGACATGGAAGTGTACACGCGCGACGTGCAGGTGTTCGCGGACGAGATGCAGCGGCGCTTCGTTCTCTCTCCGCCGTCGGACGCTCTTTCGCCCCCCCCCCTCCCGGGTTTCCCAAACATCGCAGCGTATCTCCGGTCGGGAGGGCTGATCAATTCTGCTGTGCAAGGCAAGTCCGGCCGTTCGTCGGCCGCCGCAGCGGGTGCCGCCGGGGGGACGGGCAGCGCAACCAAGGAGCAGGGGGTGTGCTACAAGTTCCAAAAAGACGGTAACTGTCGGTGGGGGAAGAAGTGCAAGTTCGCGTGTTAGACATACTCGCAGCAGTATCTGGCCGTGAGGATCCCAGGGGGACACGTGTTGGGAATTTCGTGTGTTGAAGGGTACCACCGGCGCAGTCACGGGGACCCTTTGGGCGTGGTCGGTGCGATGATGAGGAAGGCTTGCGTGCGTGCTGCGCACTTCCCCTTCTTCTACTTCCCTCTCTCTCCACCACCACCGCCGTCTCTCTCCAATCAAGTTTCCTTCTCCCACTCTCTCTCCAACTCTCTCTCAACCTCTCTCTCTCGGCCTAACACGGCCGACTACCCAGTGCCCCAAAGCAACGTCCAGAACGTGCTTGCTGCACCCCGCGTAGTTTACCTTTCATCGCGCGTGTGGCGCCACGGAATGCCGACGGAAAGGGAGGAAAAAGAGGGGGCGCGGCTGGCGGCGGCGCCGAGGATGGCGACTCGAAAGGTAGCCCCTCCACCGCCGCCGACACGAACGCCTCTGCCGCCGCCGCCCCAGCGAAGCTGGCCAAGGGGGCAACTGCCAGGACGATGACTCGCAGCAGTGCGAAGGGCCGNGCAACGTCCAGAACGTGCTTGCTGCACCCCGCGTAGTTTACCTTTCATCGCGCGTGTGGCGCCACGGAATGCCGACGGAAAGGGAGGAAAAAGAGGGGGCGCGGCTGGCGGCGGCGCCGAGGATGGCGACTCGAAAGGTAGCCCCTCCACCGCCGCCGACACCAACGCCTCTGCCGCCGCCGCCCCAGCGAAGCGGGCCAAGGGGGCAACGGCCGGGACGATGACTCGCAGCAGTGCGAAGGGCGGTGCCGGCGGCGGCGCGAAGGACGATGCTGAAGAATAGGGGCGCGGGCCCTGTCCCCCGGGGGGGGGAGGGCCGCCTTTCGATGTCGCGCGGGGCGTCGTCTCGGGCCCGAGCACGCACCTCCTGCGACCAGGGGCGGCTACTGCGTTGACCCGAGGTGGGGTTGGTTTTTAGATGGCAACGATGTTAGGCGTATTGTGTCCATGGTGCATGCTATGTCTCAGACCGTCGCGAAAGGCACACCACGTGCAACTGTACTTGCTCAGATCGCGGTGAAGTGTTTTCGTTTTTTTTCTCGGCATGGGGGAAGCCTTGAATGCATGCAAGCCATCGAAAACGGCATCGGGGTGCCGCGGGTACGGCCTGAATTTATTCGATTTTGGTTTGGACGCTCGAAGGGTTTTCCTCACACAGAGACTGTCGCTGCTATTGTGGAACGTGGCGCNCCTCCTGCGACCAGGGGCGGCTACTGCGTTGACCCGAGGTGGGGTTGGTTTTTAGATGGCAACGATGTTAGGCGTATTGTGTCCATGGTGCATGCTATGTCTCAGACCGTCGCGAAAGGCACACCACGTGCAACTGTACTTGCTCAGATCGCGGTGAAGTGTTTTCGTTTTTTTTCTCGGCATGGGGGAAGCCTTGAATGCATGCAAGCCATCGAAAACGGCATCGGGGTGCCGCGGGTACGGCCTGAATTTATTCGATTTTGGTTTGGACGCTCGAAATGTTTTCCTCACACAGACTGTGGCTGCTATTGTGGAACGTGGCGCCGTAGTGCCCGTGTGTGGGTCTGCCGAAATCGCAGCAGCGCTATCGTATGGTAACCACCGTAGTGTAGCCCCACATTCTGACACCATTCTCGGNCCATCGAAAACGGCATCGGGGTGCCGCGGGTACGGCCTGAATTTATTCGATTTTGGTTTGGACGCTCGAAATGTTTTCCTCACACAGACTGTGGCTGCTATTGTGGAACGTGGCGCCGTAGTGCCCGTGTGTGGGTCTGCCGAAATCGCAGCAGCGCTATCGTATGGTAACCACCGTAGTGTAGCCCCACATTCTGACACCATTCTCGGGAAAGTGTTTGATGACGTGCGGTTCGGGCGGGCGTTCGTGTTTCCAAAGAAAGAGGCGGGATCGATCCCGGGGTTGCGGTTGTCGCCGCTAGGTGTGGTCGTGTCGCCTGAGAAAATTCGGATTATCCACGACTTGACGTTTGAATGCTCACCCGTGTCGCGTAGTGTCAATGCCGACACGGATTCGGAAGCGGCGCCGAAGGTCGAATTAGGTCACGTGTTGCGGGGCATTGTGTGGCGCATTTTGTGGTTGCGGAGGACGTACGGACCATCGGCCCGGATTGTGTTGAGCAAAATTGACGTTACGGACGCGTTTCGGCAGGTTGCCGTTCAATGGTCGGGAGCTCCCGTGTTTGGTTACTCACTTGGGGACATCGTCGTGGTAGATCGGCGCTTGGTGTTTGGGTTGCGCAATTCGCCTGGCAATTTTTGTGTCATGACCGCCGCGTTGGAGCACTCTCACAATCACACGTCTGAGGATAATGCAGTTGTCACTGAGCTTGGCCGGACGGCTACGAACCATGTTGAGGTTCCGTTACCTAGCGCACGGGAGACGCCACCCCCATTCGCCCCTGGGTGTAGCATCCCCCCCGGTTCGGAGGGCGGTCGTTCCGACTCGTTTTTTCGTGCGGTTCTATATAGACGATGGTATTCTTGTGGAAGTGATGTGGAGCCCGACTGGGGCCCGGTGAAAAGTAGCTTCCGCGTCGTGTGCATCGGACCATATCCGGGTGTTTGGGGCGCGCGGGTCAGGGGAACCCCCCCTTGTTGTCTTCACGTAAACTTTCCTCGTGGCTAACAAGGTTGTGTGTGCTAGGGTTGGACATTGATACGGTAGCTATGACCATTTCGGTTCCTTCAGACAAGCTGGAATGTCTGCGGGCGACATTCCGCGAGTGGCCCTCCACACGCTGCTTTGCTTCTGAGTCCGAGTTGCGAGGGGTGATTGGTTCGTTGGTGCATATCCGTGAGGTCGTGCGGCCTGGTAAATATTTTGTTCGCCGCATGGACAACCAGTTGGGGCTACCGCCGGTGCAGTTGACCGCCCGGGGGGTGGCACGGAAACGGATCGGTCCCGAGTTTCATGCCGACATGCGGTTTTGGCGTCTGTTGGTCGAAGGGGGCCTGGGGTCGCCGTCGCGGTTGTTAACAGCCCCACTTGTGTGTTTTTTCGATCAACCATATTCGTGTCTTTTGTGGTCGGACGCATCTGGAGATGCGATGGGGGGGTATTTCTTGCATGCCGAATTCCGTTCTGGAGTGTGTTGGCGTTTTGAGTTTAGTCAAGAAGTACAGGAGAGGTTTCGCCAGCAGGCTGAGGGGCGCGACGATTTGAGCATCAACATGCTCGAACTCCTCGCGATGGTAATTGGCGCCTGGGTGTTCATTGTACAATCGGACATGAGGCCAGAGTACGCCAGCAACAACATCCGTATGATGGGAGACAGCTCTTCGAGTGTGGCGTGGGTGAACAAGTGTCGGGGGGGGAGCGAGCCCCGATCGGGGGCCCTCATGCGTATGCTAGGATGTTTGGAGATGGGCAGCGGATGGTGATTTGAGGCGGCTCATGTTCGGGGGGTCGATAACTCGATTTCAGATGGTATTCACGATGGGAGCCGGCGACCATTGACGCTCGTCTTCGCCTGTCCCGTCCCAATGTCGCCTGGCGCCAACAGTTCTTGAGCCCGGAGGTCGCCGATCTCTGTACCGGCGTCTTAGCGGCGAGTACGTCCGCGAGTCAGTTGCGCAGTCGTCTCGAAGAACTTACCTGTCGGGTTGGCGGGCTTAGTGTGCTTTTCGCCGCATGATTGGCGAGTCGGAGTACCTCTCGGGGGATGTGGATGGTGCTGGGCTGGAACAAGCACTTTTGGAGTTTGTCGCGTGGTGTTGTGCAGATCAGGATAACATTACACCGACCATATCCGACAAGCTCGCCGCGGTACAGTACTTTCATCGAGTCGACAAGCAGCTTGAGTTGCCTACCGGTGCGCCTCTTATCAAACGGAGGTTGTTGGGTGTCGCACGTGTTCACGTTCGAGCGGGTACGAAGAGTCGGAGTCGTGTTCCCGTATCGTGGAAGACGTTGTTGGAAGGACAGCAGTTGACGGCGGCGTGGGGTACAGGTGGCCGCGTGTTGTGGCTGTGTTTGGCGTTGTCGTATTTCCTGGTGGCTCGTTCAGATGAGGTTTTTGCCACGCTGTCGGGACAATGCCACCAGGTGCATTGTTTGCGGCGTAGCGACGTCGAATTCTTTGATGGGGAGCACGTGCTCGCCCCGTTGCACTGGCACAAGGCCACAGGAGTTCGGGTTCGGTTTCGCGGCCACAAGGGGGATCGGTCGGAGACGGGGGCGTGCGTTACACGGGTGCGCGTATATAGCACGAGGCGCGAGCTCTCAGATTGTGAGCCGGTGGCGGTGGGGTGGCGATGCTGGTGGAATTGATGGCGTGCCATCTCGCTTTACCTGAGGACGCCCCTCTGTGCTCGTTTCGCTGTAGGAGGAGCAATACGGTTAAGGTTTGGGGATACTCCAAAAACTCTTAGCGCCCTTCGACAGATTGTGTAGAAGGCAGGTGGCGACCCGAGACAGGTTGGCTTGCATTCGTTGAGAATCGGGGCCGCCACCACGATGGTAGCAGGAGGAGACGTACCGGACAGAATAATACAGAGAGAGGGTAGATGGAAGGAAGGTTCGGGTAACGTTTAAGATAGATGCTAGGAATAACATGGTGGACGTAGACATGGTATTCCGTAAACTGGCGAAGGGGAAGAAGACGGAGCAGAAGAAGGGTTAGCATACACGAAGATACGGGCAAGGGGACAGAATGCCATCCCACTAAACGTCGATGTTGGTGGATGTCAATGGCATGGAGTACCATTGGGGGTCTTGGTGTACTGAGACGCCACTTTGTTAGGGCCTGCCAGCTGACATGGAAGGGGAACTTGGACTCTGGAGGAGAGAGGGAAGCGACCGGTGTCGTCCCCTCGTGATTGGCCAGAGAGTTACCTTCCAGACTTCGAGGAAAATAATAATAAAGAATAACTTCGGAAAAATGCAATAAAATGTATGAACAATACAGATCCGCTTCCTGGTTGATATTTTTAGAACATAATCTACAAAAGACCCTCCGCAGTTAACGCGGGAGACGAACATGTCATCTAGGGCAACGGTCATGCAAGACGAAAATAGAAGGAAGGCAGCAGGACCAGCCCATAGCTGCCTCCCAGCGACCAGTGTGGCGGTCCCCGGGCTCAAACAGCTTTTTACACGGCTGGCGTATCTTGACTCCAAGAGCCCAGCGGACCTAACGAACAAGCCAAAACACAAACCTGTACCCACCTGTCATACAACAGTTGTCGCAAACTAGTGTATGCATTCGATCACAAAAAATCCCTCCTTGTTTTTGTTTGCGCTGTGACGGGTCTCAGGAATCAGGCATGTTTTGATCGTTTTTCTGCAGTAGTAGTAGCTGGTTGGTGGGCGTGGGTCTCGCACGTACAAGGTTTCCTCGCTGTCTACTATAGTGTGACACGTTACGATTTCGGCTTGTTGGGGCATTGTCGGCGATGCCGAGATTTTGAGCTACGCATTATTTCATGGGCTCATCCCTGACGTTCTTGCAGATTTCAGGGTATTTGTTTTTGTGCGTGTTTCTACCGTAAATAATGGGGGAAAAAAACATGACAACGATGACCCAAAACTTTCCCTCCCAAAAGCTGCCTCATCAGGGCGCCGAACGTGTCGGCGAAACGCCCCCATGGCCACCCATTCCATGTTTAAATTTTGTCGCCTCCTGTTCTTGACAGAATCAACAAACCATTGGAATCGTCCACCGGATACCCTCCAATACGCGGGGGAATTCATGAAAACGTCATGGCACTAATCGCGCGGTATAGTTACTTCCTTCCCGCTACTACTTTGTGACGGATATCGGTCATGATTCAATGAGCATCTCTCTCTGATACTGCAACTGCCTGGCGCCTTGGGTTAGCGGCGCGCGGGGCGAGGAGTAACATACTTGTCTCGCGCTAAGCGCGGGTGCAGCGGTGCTATGGCATTTACTAATACAAGGAGCTTCGGTGCGCTAAAATCGCGGGCACCTTTTCTCTAAATCGAAGGGCACCGTGTATCCCGCCCCGGCCGCTAGACCAAACCCCACTACTCTCTACGGCGGCCGGGCCTTTCACAGTCTTCCACTACAGCAGTTTGGGAGCTCTTTTTGACATTCTGAATCGATTATTCTCTCCACGCAACAGGCACAGGATTCGACAAAAACAGGGAAAACAAGCCCAAGGGACATTGAAATCGAAACGCGCGACACCCATCCAGGAGCCGTCTCTCGTTCACAAGTTTCCTCGCTCTGTATTGCCCAGCCGATGTTCCAACCGCCCCTTCTCGCCCCTTACATATAATACGCGAGCAAAAGGCCAACCCGAGCAAAACCTCGCTCACTCTCGCACAGGGGATGGCTGCAAGTGAAGAGGACAATCGGTGTGGCAAGAGAGGTGACAACAACGTTAGGGCACGCGTCGTCGTGTCATCGCCGCCGACTCCGTCTTCGCGCCCGGAAGTGTAGCCGGTCCTCCAAGATGTCGAGCACGGTGTGCAGCATATTCCCCATCCCGGGCCCGAAGTACGTGTCGAAGACCTCGAGAGCGGTCACCTGTGGACGGTTTCAGTCGAAAGGGAACCAAGAAAAGCTTGTTTATGTTGTGTTTGAAAACATACAATAACAGAAGGGCTACCCGTTTGAGATAATACTGTACCACACCGTCGAACGGGGGACGTGTTGAAGTCTTGACCGCAGTGAGTGGTGAAGTCTTTGCCGGAGTGGGAATTTTCTTTCCCGTAAATTTCGCCGATTCCACCGAGCCAAAGCTCAGAACGCGGTGAAACTGCCAGGCGCGGTAAGTCTCGATGGGTGGGTGGGGGGGGGGTCCCGACAAGTTGCTTGTGGTAGTAGCACTGCTCGTGTGCGGGACTACGGCCATGGGAGGGGCCAGGCCTCGCTCTCTGTGATTGTCGAGAAGACGAATTGTTTTGTTCGTCTTCCAACCCGCACAACAACAATAACCCTTCGCCATAAATGCTCCCACGTATACCTGCATCTGCGCCAGCTTCTTGTCAGGCACAGCTCTCAAGGTTTCCAAAATTCGCGGCGCTTCCTCCGGCGGGAAAGAAAACGAAAACTCCGACCAAGGAATTTGCCCAGGGAACGGCTTGACGAAGTCCTGCGAGTTGCAATGTTTGGGGGAAGCGGGGGTCGAAGAGCGTGCTCATTCTATGCCTCAGCCACGTCCTTCGCTTGGTGTCTCGTAGTCGTTTTTGTTTTTGGTGCTTCGATGGTGAGGAGAAAGGGCGCAAGTTCCAGTTCGGTTCCAAAGACGGCACAACCAGTGAAACGACACTCACATTGACTTTCAAGCGTGTCTACTTAGTCTCAGGTTCAATTGGCGTGAAAGTCTCATGACCCTCGCTCGTACCACTATTTAGGACACGGCCCGATCGGATGGCACCAGCTTGGAGACTTCCTCTTAAAAAGCAATAAACAACCATGAGCCAGGACTTCGAGCGAGAAACTCGGAAACGCAATGTAGTCAGCACCCAGAGCCAAGATGAAAACCACCTGCTGGCACTTGAGGCCGACCTCCTTATGGCCTCAGTGGGTCGCAGAGTGTTAGCGCACCTGGTGGATGAAGACGGGAATGGCGCCTGCCGACAACGCCTCCGCTAGGCGGTAGGTCGCCGGGGACCGGCCGGCCGGCAGCAGCGCGAAGGTGGTGTTCATGAGGTCCTCGTAGCTGACGCTGTCGAACTCCCGCTCGGAGGCGTCGCACAGACCCTTGTTCCACGACAGCAGCTTTTGCGCCCATTGCGCGTGTGGTTGTTGGCAATGAATGCAATGATGTCACGAGTGAAAGTAAGTGAGTGAGGTTTACGGCGTGAGTGCGGCAGAGGGCAAGCTTGAACGTACGCTTCGGAGCTTGTTCGGAGAAACATGTGGACCATGGCGGAAGTCTCTCGGAAGAACAGAACTACAATCAAATCTAGTCCGATAGCCACCTACGCTCGCGCGAAACAGCTTTCTGCGAGAGGCGTACCCATCGCACCATATCCTAGTCCGGCAAGCCCAAAAACAAGACTTTCGTATTCAACAACACCTGCTAAGCTGTGCTCGACGTGCAGGCTAAGCAAAGACTGCCGTGTCACACCGGCGGTTTGTGCGGGTCGTGGAGAATTCGATCGGAACGCACGCAGCTTTCGTGACGTTCGATGTTTTGCTTTCCCCACCGACGTTCTCCCTTCTTCCCCTCGCTCCTCGACAAGCTTTTGCTTAGACATGGGTTGTAGTGAAGGGGGGGGTCTTTCTGGCGAGCAGGGCTAGACTCACCCTCAAGGGATGACCGAAACCTTCTTGCTGCTGCGCATATCCGCCGCGAGGCATGCGCGTGGTGGTGTAGTTGGGTCGGCACTGATGGGGTCAGGCGAAAAAATGTAGATGCGCGGGCCTCTGGCCGTCGGCGTAGGCAGCGATGCCCATCTCATTTTTTGTGCGCGGAGGCAGACACCGTCAGAAGGTGGACGGGAACTATGTACACGGCCCTAGGTTGGCTAGAGGGCGCTGCATTGCCTCAGTAACCTGGCTTCGCCATCAAAGGAGGAGGGAGCAGGTGGCGACGAGCTGAACTGGGCTGGTTGACCCCTTCGGCGCGAGAATTTTCATTTTTCAGACCAAGAACCTTGAGTGCAACGAGGGAGAAAGCGAGGAACCGACTGGGAAGGACAGCAACGAGAGCGTGTACGGACGGAGCAGGTCGAGTGGCGTTATGCTCGGGCTGACTACAGCGGCGCCGGACGGAGCAGCGGCACCGGAGCATGCGGGCGACATCGACCCGTGGCGCACGGACAAACATTTATATCTGATCTGTGTTGTCAATTTTTCTCGTTTTTTTCCTGATTTTCGGTGTTGGTTCTATGTGATGACGTCGTCACTGGTTTTGTAGAGAGACCCGTCAGAGATGGCGTGGCTAACCCGGGTGCCTTGGTTATGTGCCTGATCGTGGAAGACCCCTTCAATGTGGAACGATTCTTAGCTATTGTCGATATTTTCACTGCGTGCCTAACACAGACGATCGGGAGAGGTTCGGGTGATTGTCCATTGCAATCATGGCTTTGGTTGGTTGTTCTTTTTCACTGTACGTCCGCAGACACATTCTGACAGCACTTCAGACAGCAGCTTTGTGCCCCGCCAGCTTCTTGTTCCATGCCTACCATGGTGTTTTTGTACAGACAGCACTTCAGACAGCAAGTATGCTGTAGTCGGCAATCATTCGTTTTGGTACAGAGTGGGACAAGTAGGGGGTGATGTTGCTGTAGTCGAACGGTGAGACGGACGTGTAGTTCAGTTTTGGGCACGCGTACGGTGCTGCAGGGATTATATATAGGTGTAGTAGTACCTCTTCGGGCTCTTGTACACCTTTTTCTTGCTACGTGTGCGTGTTCTTTAGATCCTCAGATGGCTCCAGCACTTTCGTGACCACGGGCCGAGAGTCTTTGCTAGATTTTGGCATTTAGCAACTGGCATACGGTTTAATGTGAAGTCAACAACAACAACAACCTACATTGGACACGTGTTTCGACCTCTATCCCGTACATCCTCGTCCGCACCAACCCCAACTGGATTGGAACTGGTTTCTGTTTTCGCAGAGGTGGGTGTTGAATCACGGAAAACAGCTTTCTGAATTCCACCCCGCACCTCCCCTTCCGCACTCTTCGAACGGACACATTAAGACGAGACACACGAGCTTTCTGTGGTCACAATCGGTAGAAAAAGCACCGCTGTCCCATCATCCTCGCACCACATGGCGCATTCCGTCACACGTGCCCCTCGCGCGTGAAGGCCGCGGTGAAACGAAAGAACCCCTTTTCACCAACACCTTAAGTGGATGGCGAAAGCACTACAGCAACTCGCACCTGCTCGTGGTGGAGGTGGTGACACCGCTCGACCACCACCACATCGGAGGAGGAAGCAGGACCGCCACCGCCGCCGCTCGGGCCCGCCGCCCCGTCGAGTGCTCCGGCCGTGGCAGCGGCTGCGGAGGCGCCCCCGCCCCTGAGGTTAAGCACCGAAGTCCGCTCCAACATGCCGTTCCCGGTCAGGTACAGGCTGCCCTGAAGTGTGATGGGGTGTTGTTCGGTTCGGTTCATGGGGTCGAGCAAGATTCATAAGCGAGGTTTTGTCTCTCCTCGGTTGGTTTCGCTGGTGTTTGGTAATGGCTGTTTGGCGCAGCAGGAAATACCATCATCCCAACAAGGTGGAGCAACAAGGGACATGAACGAAGACAAGAAGAAAAGACGTCAACAAACAATGAAATTCGGAGTGCCCTTGCTACTGCATCGGGCGGTGCTGCAGTATGTTTCAGCCCCCCCCCCCCCCCCCCCAAACCTTGGAGATGAAGTCTCAGGACCCGGGGCAAACCCCTGTGTCGTCGGGACAGCCAGCGTGAAAATCGACAACCCATGCGCCAGCGGCTCGTGCAAATTGCGGGGTTGTTGCCTGGTAGGATGCCGCTTAGCATTTCATGTACGGGAGCTGCCTGTGGCATGAAAGGATTGTCAGCGTGCATGCTTACTGATTTGTCTACTGGCTGGGAGTGAGACACAATGCACCTTTTCCCAATGAAAATCGCCCGTTTTTGTGGAACATGCGGAGCATTTTGGGGTGTCGAGCAAGGACAACTTCGTTCGCAGTCTGCATCAGAGCTAGGCTCAGGGTTGCAAACTATCAACTCGGAGGATAAACAGCTGCGGGAAAACTCAACCACACCCACCCAAACAGCAAGAAGTCGAACAGGGGTGAAGACCCCCTGCTAGACCGGAACCCATTGTTGTTGTTGTTGTTGTTGTTGTTGTTGTTGTTGTTGTTGTTGTTGTTGTTGTTGATTCTCACATTAGCTCTATAGTCCACAAAAAATGGGGAGCCCGTGGTCTCAAAACCCGGCACATACGACGCCGCGGGGAAAAAAAACAATAATAGGGTACAAACCACTCGGAAAAAGAAAACAACATGATAGAAAGAAAAAAACAGGTATCGCACCGACCGTTCGAGAAAAGAGCCCTCGGGAACCGATCAAAATAAAACAAAACATAAAAACAGGAGGACACTTCCCACACCCGCCCACAGAAAAAATCAAAGGGTAACGTACCAGCACCAGGCACTACGCACCAGGGCATGGGAGTAACGGAGCAAACAGGACAAAGAGGCGGCAGATGGGCAGAGTGGCCTCGATAGCATCAATCCCTCGTCTAACGTTTTTTTCTGTCACAACAACGTTCAACTCTCCCAAGGACTGACGTTTCTCCTCCTTCCTGGACACAAACGCGAGGGCCAATTCCACCACCCTACGGGCAAAAAACCGTAGCTCGCCTTGAAGGTGGCGAAGTACTTGCGGTCCCGCGGAGCAATCTTCCTCAGGCTGTGGAAGAGCTTGCGGGCCCGAAGGGGCACCGCAACGTCGTACCCGTGGCGGTAGTAGCACGGCCGCATGTTGGACTGTACGAACATCCCCTTCACGTCGAGGGAGCGGCGCGCCTCACTCCCCCCCCCCGCCCCCCCCCCACGGTCGAAAGCATGCGCGCACGATTCGACCATCGCACAATCCCGGAGCGTTTTTAGGTCATGTGGTGTTCGAATCAAGGGTCGTGCTGGCGACATTTTTAGCTAGAGCTAACACATGAAAGGTTTGAAGACTGGGGTGCACGTTTTGCTGAGTACTCGCGCCGGAGGAGTCTCTCTTCACTGACGCTGTACCCTTGCTTGCCGACACCAATCACCAACACGCAGCATCTCAATGTCGGCGAGCCCAGCAGACCCGACCAAAATCTCCAGCCACGAATCGTTTCCCCTGCAGCGCCATGGGGTACTCTGACATCGCGGCACGCGGAAAAGCGCACTCTCTAGTCCTCGATAGCGGGGATACCAACATGAACAATAGCATAGACCTTCTGCCTCTGTCCACAACTCTCCGCGCGTCTGCACCCACTCTACGGTGGACGCCACCACCACTACCACCACCACTACCACCCTTCACGCCCATTTAGCCAGCATTCCCTGGTGGAGAGTTGTGGTGCAAACCTCAACCAACAAGACAGGCAACTGAAACAAGACCGAGACCAACCCTTCCGAAGATGAGTCAGAGCTGGGCAGGTTTGGTCGCGCGAGGGTGGGGGGGTTGATAGCGCCGCCGTCGCAACACGCAACTACTGCCGTCGCTTTTGTCCATCCTCGGGTAACCCACGAAGAGACGTGTGGCGTTCGCGAGGCTGGGTGGTTTCTTGGCAAGGAAAGCAAGGTCTACGCGGCGGCGCTAAACCCGACGTGGCAGTCGGGCATCAAGGATGTGCACTCAAGTCAGTGTTGCGTTTGTACACTTTTCACTCAGTAAATCGTCTCGAGGTTGTAGGATTTCTTCACGCACCGGAGGCAGGGGGGAATCTGACGGTTGATGTGTGGCACGCAAACAACAACATCAATATTGCGAAGGCGTAAAGCTATACGTGAGCGGGTTGGCGGCCTCGCCTCCAGCTGAATCAAATCAACGGAAGACGCCACGATGCTCTAACAAACACGGCACATGCAAACGCCACACACACGCTGAGTCCGTTGCCCCTAAGGGTGTCCGCTGCCCGTTAGGGGGGAGTGCTTTGTCTCTCGGTCGATCTCTCACCGGCTTTGGTCGTTCAGGTCCAGCAGGACGTGGTTTTGTCCCTCCCCCCAGGTGGGCGTCTTCGACACGCACTCCCCTCTCTCAGGCACCGCGTAGAAGACGATACACGCCTCGTCGGGGGTGTCCACGAGCAGACCCCTGTGCGGGGTTCGTTCCGGGTTTGGCACCAGTCAAAAGCACCCGTGGGGAGTCTCTCGAGAAAGGGGAAGCTGTAACAAATTGGCTGTGACCGCAAGTCACTCTGTGTTCGGTGTGCCCTCGGTAGGAGGAGTGCTTGTTAGCTCAATTGCACATGATGGAGTATTGACAAAAAGAAGAGCTGGGGCGTAGAACACAAGGTAACTCTTGGGGGTAGTTGTTTCATTGCATTTGGGGTAGCTCAGACTCGGTTAGTATGAGGATTACTACAAAACACGACCGAGGACATGCTTGCTCGCAGTGAGAAACAAACCCAGACCCTTCGGAAAGGGCGGGAGACCACCGCTTGGCGCATGATTTACAGCAGTGGCGATTGACCTGGTCATACTTTTGTCTGCTCGATTTCTCGACGGTGGGAAACAGGAAATTGTTATCGACTTGGAAGGCTATCGAAAGATTTTCAGCCGCAAACACAAGCGACTCCCTGTCTGTCTGTCTGTCTGTCTATCTGGTCGTCTGCTTCTCACTTTCTATCTCTCTCTCCATCTCTCTCTCTCTCCCAACCCGCCCCGAAAAGCAAAGCGCCACACGTCGACGTGAACGCCTCTCGTTTTACTACTTTTCATCGATTACAGGTCGACACAACCGTTCATTTAGTGAATATTTTCGAGAAACAGTTGTTCTGCCAGCACGTGGCCCCGATCTTGACTTGTGTCAAGGTTTCTTTCATCATGTACCAAAAAAAAGTCCCCTTTCGTCTTGCATGTGCCCCATGTCTGATGACAGATCCCGCCCCCTTTCTTGAGTCGAAAAGAAAAACTCTGGTGACTGTTGGTGAGCTGGCTTGTGTGATAACGAAGTTGTAACGTGCCTCTACCGACACACCGACAACCACGGCAAACCACCTCCCCCTCGTTGCTTCTTTCTACACGTGTGGATACCTCTCGGCCGCGACGTGACGAAGGGCCTTTGCCGCCTCGTTCCACAGGAGCGGCATGGCCACGCCCCGATAGCTGGCCATGATCTCCGAGCTTTTCCTCATGGAGCACGTCTCGTCGTGCACGTATACGGACAGCAGGTCGCCACCGCGGGCGCCGCGCGTGCTAATGTCCCTGCCTCGCACAGCCCTTGCCCTTCGACGGCCACTGCGGCCGCCGCCGCCGCCGCCACGACATCGGGTGCGGTCAAAGCACGGAGCTGACCAAGGGCTCCCGCAAGCTACTTCGGCCCCTGTGCTGACCCGCCGACAGTCTCTGTCGGGTTGGAACAGCTCCCCTTTCCCGTTTTCAAGAAAGGTGGAGTAGAAAAATTCAACAGCAGCGACAACAACAACAACGGTGACAACAACAGAGGGCAAGACGAAGGCAGGCGGAAAGTAGACAGAAAGGCAAAGGAGATTAGGTGATGGCAGGTGGGGTCGGGTTTACCCTGCGGAGGTGGAACTAAGAAGGAGTTGCGCGCGGGAATCGGATCCGGTGCTTTTCTGTGTGTGCAGTTCGATCATTTCGTCTAGCTGCCAAGGGCGCGACGAAAGTCTTACGCTGGACTGCTCTGTTAAGTGTGTTCCCGCACATGAGATTGACAAGAAAGTCGGCAGTTCGACGTTGGCTCAACGAGAGATGCATGAAACGCGCGGAGAAAACCCAGGAACGACAACACTGTACCCCTGGACCCGAGCTTGTTGAGATCTGTCCAGCTTGACGTCCAAGCAAGCAGAAAAGAGGATTGCTCGTGCGATCACTCTTGGCACCACCAAACATTTGTCCTCCGCTTGCTCGAAGGGATTAGATTGCGGACGTTGTTGTGGGCCGGTCGTGTGCAACGGCTTCCGACTATGGGGAAGTGAAACGAAGACAAACCTCGTAAAACGCAACATCTTGTTACCACAAGTCGGTGGGTGCCGCCATTTGTAGTGGTATAATCAAAAACAAGGCGTCTTGGCTCGCCGCGGAGCACTATTTGCTAAGCGGCCATCACACACCGTAGGTCTCCCATCTCCTTGTGGGGGAAACCTCAACACGGGCCTGCCGGGCAGGTGACCAGCGGCAAGGCCCCGAAAAAACGATCAACAGACTGCTTTTGCGAACAGCGCCGCCACGACGGCTGTCACCAAGGTACCACGCGCGACTCTGGATGCATTATCGCCTCACTGGGTTGTAGCACGCTGCAGCGCTCTCACCTCTGTAAGGGAACAGATCTCGCCAGGGCCAGAGCCCGGCGTAGGCGGCCAACGCGAGGATCACGAGCAGGACGGCCACGGCGATGGATACGACGGTCAGGCAAACAGCCAGAGGGTCCTTCCGTGAGAGTCTTCGCGCGGCGGTGTGAGCCGAGGAAACCGCGGGAGTTCTCGCTGTCTGGATGTGATGGCCACGGTGCCTAGAAGGTCTCGGAGACAAGGGCGGGCTTGGCGCAGCGGCGACGTTTGTGACGGTCGTCCCTTCTGTCCCGGCCAAGAACGAGTGTCGGGTGAACCCCGGCGCCGCTGCCAATTCCAGAGAGGGGAACAGTAGCAGCAGAAGCAGATGCGGCATCCAAAGTCGCCAGGGCGTTGAGTTTGGGGTGCGGACGCAGGATCGTCTATGGCATCGGTATTGGAGATACTGTAGAGCCGATTGTCCAAACGACAATAAAACTTGTAGTCAAACACGATTCATCAATTGATACAGCAGTCGGTCAAGGCGTGTTTGACAACGAAAATATACAAGATTCACATCTGTGCGTCCAGAATCGTTGTATCACTTGACGCAGGTATTGTGTTGCTCATGGTGAAGTGTACAGTTTGTCCCCACATCTACAGCTCGTTCAGGAAGGCCCCCCAGAGGCTCTCTAAAATGGCTATTGTACTTCCTTCATTGCACAAGGCTCCCCTCGGGAGTTTGGTGACTTTCTCCAGGAGGCGACGCAATGGGACATCATCCATGCACGCATCGCAAAGTCCGGTAGGTTTTCCGCACAAACTCAGAATCTACGTATAACATTTTCGCGTGTGCGTGTGTGTACCAATATGCTGTAAAGATAGCGGCGTCGTTGCCGCAGATCCTACTGCTGTAACCCGATGAGTTTGGTCGCTCGCTCTCATTTATTTGTACCCATTCTGCGCAGGTGTGTAGGAATGTATGTGTGTACTCCGCAGGAATCAAAAGCGTTCCTGTTTACAATGCAAGGGCGTATGGATTCCTGCGAACTCTGTTTTGGTTCGGCGTGCCTCCCCTCGCAATGGAACCAGTCGCGGCGAATTTCGGCGTCGATTGCACGGGCCACAGATGTCTGGCGGTCCTCAAGCATGCGTGGCAATGCACCGAGGAGCCCCCCTGCGTGTCCCTGAGAAGGAAACGCGGGAACAAATTGGCTGCCGCGAGAGAAAAAAAGTGCCGAATTGCGCGAAACACAGTCGAGAGTCGATACGAACACAGGACCCATGTGAACACCATGCTGCACTCGTTGCAATTGATCGGTGCACAACGTGAATGCCGTTCACCGCCAACCTACAAGAACATTTCCAGGCTGGGTCTCTCTCACTCGTAGCTGTAGTCGAATGTTGCCCTTCTTCCTCCGAAGGCCTGTCCTCTCCTGCTCCTGCTCCTGCAGATACCACCAGCCCGCTTCCCTTTCTCCTCGATCTCGCGCGTCCTAAATCTGCAGCATGTTGCTCCGTGTCTGCCCCACTCGGTCTGTTCAATACCGCTGAGGGCGACTGACTCCCTGTCCCCGTGCAGGATGGGCCCCGAGGAACTTCCCATCCTCGATGACTCCTCATTTTGCGCGAGGGTTTGTTGTTGCTCCTGCTGTTGCTACAGCAGTGATGGCCGTCGGGCAGTTGGCTCGATACAGCTTGCTGGTGAGGAACCGGCACTCTCGCTGTCCTGTTGGAGCAGTCACGTCAGCCAGTTGCCATGCTCGCGACCGCAACGAGCAGCGCCAACCAGAAACCTCCGCACACCTGAGGAACTGAGGTGCACACCGGGGGGCGGACAAGTATCCCTTCTCCGTGTCGTTTCTCCCTCACGGCGCAGGGCCGCTCCCACATGCTGTTCCGAAAAACAGCGGGGCGACTGACTCTCTACCTTACAACTCCGAAGCGTTTTCCGAACTGTTCCCGACCGTTAGTCTATACGGCTTGGTTCCAACGTTCCACGCTCCTCCACGCTGGCCACGCTCCAACCAGGTGGTCCAACGCTCCACCTTTTCCTCTCCTCTCTTCGCCGACGTTGGAACATTGGAACTAAACCGGTCCGTTACAAGACATGTGGAGATTGGTGTCGAGTGCTCTTTGGCGGTCTTGACTGACGAAGGTGTTATTTTCTCTGGGTACCTCTTCGGTGTTGCTGCATGAGTCATACTCGTCTATAGTCTAGGATATGACCTACTATAAAAATATGTTCTTTGTTAGGTCATGCGTACCCTTTACATGGCATTTAGGCGTCATATAGTAGACTATTTTTGTGTTGTCCGCTCTCTCTGCAGAGTTGGAGATTTGGATTAGATCTCCTCTTTGCTGTTCTTGAACAGCTGCATATAATGATGCTTTGTTGCATAGCCGACAGCACGATGGCAATGCCGCACATCTCTGTACAAATGATGCTACATACATACCTGTTCGCCAGAATGAATGAGTTGATATCCGCCTTGATTGAGTTTTGAAGTGGTCCGTACACAGTCTACTGCTGTTCGTTATTCGCGTCCAGCTTCCGAATGATCGGAGCAATGACCCAACGAGTGAGTGTTGATCGCACGGCTGTTGTTGTAGTTGGCCGTGCAAATCCGACCTGCGCCCGGGATGTGTAGGAGGGTGCGCTCAATCAAATAGATGGGCGAACACCATCAAGTTCACAAATCATGTGGCGGTACACGGTGTCCAACTGTAGTCTTTCATCACTACGCGCCGCTACTATGCTAAGGAGTACTTTCCAATCACACATGTGAACGGGGGAGAAGCGTAAAGCTCCGCCACGCGCCAGCGAGTTAGACGAACTCGGTAGAGCATGTGCCCCTTGGTGAATCCGTCCCACGCTTTTTCACAATACCCCGAGGTTGCACAATCGGCAAATTGTTCCGTTCAGCTTCAGTCAACGGACTGCAGAAATCGGAACACAGCACCTCTTCCACCCCCTCCCGCGAATGCTGTGCAACCGCTGTCTCTCCACCCAACCTTGTATGAAATGAAAAATCCAAAACCACGCTAGCATGACTTCGTGCGATCCTTCACCATCTGCCTCATCACAGCTCCCGTCTAGCCGAAAGATCAGCAGCTTGGGAATCAACACTGCCCCTGCTCTCGTAGGCTGCATTCACTGGATTTCGCAGCACATTGCACGTTTCGCATTACTTGAGGATGAGTCACTCTCACAAAGGGTGCCGCCAACATCCGACCGTGCCTGAAGACCTAGCAACCCAAATAAGAGTTCCCGCGTACGATCCGGAAACTGATCCCTTGTACCGTGGGCCCTGCGTATTTCATCACCGGTCCCTGCGTACTTCACCACCTGATGCAGCAGGCTTCGATCTATCGACCGAAAGCTCTCCTTACCCACAATCACGCTTATGATCCTTCCAGTGCTGGCGCTGGCAGTCCCTTGAGCAATAGCGCACCTGGTGGCAGCGAGAGCACGGCCTCAGAGAGCCATCCTTTCCGCAGTTGGAGCATCCCGCCGAACCAGGAGCGACAGTCATCCTGGCATTTTTTTTCGTCTGCGGTGCGGAATATGTCGAGGCATTTTTTGCCTGCGATGCGGAAGATTGCGTGGTCGACTTCTTCTGCTGAGGGGCGGGGGCTGTCGTCGAAGGCGGTGGAATTGGCGATACGCCATCCATCCCTTGAGGGACATAGAGTGGAGACAGAGCTGCCCTGTAGAAACACGTCTCCCCGTTGACGTTGCCGGACTTCAAAGCCTTCACGAACGCTGGGGGTAGGTCCTTCCCCATGCCGCACTTGCACAGAACCGGAGCAGAATTATGACATGTCCGCGAGTAGGTACAGTCCCCTGCGTGAGCGTACGACTCGCGGGCGCGCTCCACAGCCACAGGAAGCAGAGACAGCCACAACTTGATTTCTCCAGCGTATGCCTGCAAGAAATACAATTAACGGGTGGGGAGAGGTTCCTCAGACGAGTGTGGGAGTCGACCTGTGACGGATAATCGATACCGACGGCCTGCAATCTCAAAGCGAGGCAAATGATGTTAATGACGTTGTAAATGGTGTTCCTTAGCATTCTTCTAGCATCTGGTCCAGAGCAGAGGGTGTACAACCGTTAGCGACAGTAAGAAGTGAAGTGAGACTCGGCCGCTCTACATTCACGCATGCACACAATTAACGCTGCGCGAGCCCAAGTGACAGTAGTCGGAGCTCAGGCACAGAAAACTTGGCAACACCAGAATCACGAGATGAGTAAAATGGAGTGCTGAGCAGGTGGCTTAGAATCGACCGCCAAAGCGCTGCAGGCAATCACAGCAGGACCCGGCGCGTTTCCCAGCACACGCCGACTCTACTTCACCTTGCAGGTAAGAATTGGGCCACCCTGGGCACAGGATCCAAATTGCGCGGAACGTCGAAGCTTGAGGGAGAGCGCATCACCCACGCACGCCACGGGCAGAACGCAGCAGTCGATGACTAGCGCCTCGTTGCTGGAATCCAGGAGTAGATCGTTGACCCAGATCCAGATCGCTGGCTCGCTGTGGTTGTCGGGGTCCGCAACGAGTGCCCATGCCCGGTTCCAGCCCCTGCCATTTTCCGTGTGACTCGTGATGGCCGTTGATATGACGGCCAGGAAACTCTCCTGGCGAAGGCAGCCGATTCTCGGGTTAGGCGTGCATCTGCCGACCCATGCACTCAAACATTGAATAACCATCCGATGTGACGAGCGGATACGGGGGAATACTCTTGTGTACCTGAGCAAACGGCGAGACCAAGATGAGACGAGCGCAATCAATCCACGGGGCGATATCGTCTACCATTGATACAACATTAGCGCCTCTTGCAATAGACGAGAGCCGACCACCACCGTCTGCGGAACCTGCATTGCGAAGATTCGATGAATGCATCACGATATCATGAACACGAGAGGGGTGGCGGAATATCTCAGTGGGCAGTTGTCACCTTTAGTCCTAAGAGGGCAGCGTCGACTGTAGATTTAAGCTTGAAGACGTCGTTCCGTGCGGCCTTCTCTTCGTGGGTGAAAGACATCCCGCCCATCACCTGCGGCCAACAAATACCGAATATCACTCGAAACAGCAGAGACGTGAGTACGCTGGCTTCAAATGATCCACAAAAAGAATGGACTACGACCATATGTCTCTCGGTAGTGCGTTCACAAGGTCCGAAGTTGCGGCAGAGGTCCAATTGGAGGATGTGCTAGAGAAACAAATTGAAAGTTGTATCGTGTGTTTGTTGGAATACAAGCCCGAGGGGCTCCAGAACCAGGGACCTTCCATATTTCTGGAAAAATCGACACGCACCGCAGTCCTGGCCCCTGGGGTTACGGCCCCCCAACCAAGGCATCGCACCTCCCGCGGGGGGGTCAAGACAGTGCATGCTGTGGTACTTCACCGAAAAGGGAACAACATATCCTCGGACCACATATTGAGCTAGTGCTACTTGCACCGCAGTTCGAGACGTGTCTCGGAACTTTAGATAATACTCCCTTCTTGCAAATATCCGGACATACGTGCATACAGCGTGGGTGGGTGGGGGCTTTTCAGTTTTGGGGACCCAATATATGACAAATTTGTGTTTCATTCCACGGGTGACCCGCCCGCATTCTTTCCGGGAAGAAGAAACACACGCTATGGCGTGGTTCGTACCCACCGCGGCATGACGCACAAGTGAATTTGTTTGCGTCGTCACCCGGGTTTAGATTCCGACACCGCTCTAACAAACACCCCCAAAGGCATGGGCATCTAGTCAACACTCTCGTTCACCTTGTTAAACGACCATTCGGCGTTGAAGTCCAGCCTTGGAAGGGAAGAGAGGGGCGCGCATGGGGGCCACCAAATGTTCGATGGCACCGTGCCCCCTCCATCTGTAACGCACGCCGTCAGCGTCGACGGGATGTGGAGAGAACCTCCGAGCGGCGGGACGGTGAAGAGGACGAAACCCTGGCGCCTGCTGAACTTCATGTCGACAGCGTTCCTGTTGACCGGAAAGGGAAGGTAAGTCACGAGCGTGAGTAGCCCCTTCCCGAGCGTGACACGCACGCAGCATGGGTCCAGTGACTCCGCCACCGCCGGGGTCGCTGAAGTCAGAGCTTCCCGCGCAAGGTCGGTCATCATGATGAACTTGATTCTGTACACGAAGTGGGCGTCTCCCGTCTTTCCAGCTGGGCCATTGCAGATCAACTCGACAGAGCGGTCAACGGTCGACTTGCCGTCGACGATGCGGTGGAGCAAAACCGGCTCGGACTTGGTCGATGGAGTTGAGGAAGGAGCCTCCTGGAGCCGATCCGTCACAGCCGTCTTTGGGCAGGCCAGAGGCACATCAATACTGGAACCGCCGCCGCTCTCGCCGAACGGGTCATCCCCTCCGGGAGTAAGGATGGCCGTCCTGTCCTTGTCGGTCAGGTTTGCTCTAAAGAAGCACTTCCACAGCATGCCCCCCATCTTGTTCATGACATCCTTGGGCGCCCTCATCATTTCAACGCTGTCTCGAGGTCGAAGCCGCACTTCAGTCTCCGACAGCGGCGCCAAAGAGAAAGCAAAAGAGGGAACCAGGGCGGAGATCATGAGCTCCGCGGCAGGGTCGTCCGATCGTGTATCGCGCACGCACAGGTGGTCGCTGAGAGAACGCCAGCCGTTGTCGTTGCCCCCATCCCTGCTGCCGCCGCCGCTTCGGCCGCGACGCACCCGGACGAAAGCCATGTGGAGGCTGGAAAAGTGGTTGTCAAACGTCCCCCGCGTCCCAGCCAGCGACAAGTATATCTCGGGCAGGGAAAAGGCGCGGAGGAGCATGAGCCCGCTGTGCGGAACAAGTAACACCACCCGACGCGTGTCAAGCGGAGCGCCCGGCTCGTTGGGGGATGGGCGGATGGGAACGAGATCCATCGCATGGAACAACGCCATCTGAACGACGTGGGACACGGGTTAAGTGATGAGTGTGAGTTGACGTCGCCACGAAGTGCAACCGTGCAAGCAGGAATTATTGAAAACGTTTTTGCGGACGACATATTCTGCGAACGGCAGGAACTCTGTGTTCCGGCAAGGTAGCACCAGTGCCGATGCTATGCTGGACGCCGAAGTCGCATGTTAAAATTGCAAGTGATTCTGAACTCAAAAACTCTGAATTATCTCTCAATGCGAGAAAAGCAACGTCAAAACTAGTTTAGGCTATGATGGTAGGTGATAGGGACAGGCGAGCGGTACGATTAATATCTTGCAGGTGTATTGGTATGGAGGAACGTCGCCGACGCAAAACTCCTGCAGGGAAAATATTAAAACTATCTACAATTCCGATCTCGCACCATACCGTGCGAACTCGAAGTAACGAACAAAGCTCACCTGCTCCTGCATCATGTTGGAAGCCATGATCAGGCCGCTACCAACTATCATCGCCTTTAGCGCTGCTTCGAAGTGCCTGGTGTCGAGCCGCAGTTGTCGGCCAGCCAACGCCAATAGTCGAATGAACGACACAGACGTGTAATGCGCGGGTGTTGTCAACGCACGGATGGATTCTTCCCGCCCTCTCGACCGGAGCAGGTCCACGTTGGCGAACATCGCCTTGTACACAGGAAGTACAAGGCTGACAAAGTCGCTCGGGGAAATATTGATGCTGGTCGGTGGAGATGCTGTCGTGTGCTGCTCGTGCCCGTGTCGACGCAAGCGGCGAAACAACCAATGACGCGTTGAGAGAAGCGTTGACATAGTTCGAAAATTAAGCCGCCCTAGCCTTTGGCATGGTCAGGACATCAGGAGGGTTTGACGAGCCCAGAGGGCGGTGGTCGTGAGGTTTGATGTGCCCTAGTTAGTGCACGTTGCCCTTCAATGCGGCAAGCTGAGACAAATTGCGAATATTGCCCTTGGTTCTTCCCTATTGAACGTACCATCCAATCGATAGTCTCAGCGTTTCAGTTGGAAGCCCGGTTACCCTCTACTGGCTAGGTCGGGTGGTTCGACCCCTAGTGAAGTGTGTCTGTAATTCGCACCTATGTTTGGTTTGCTCGTGCGCGTGTTTGAGAGAAGCAATGGCTGATCCCCGCTTGCGAAAGGGGATGGCAGACAACGAATTTTATGTTGACCTATTTTTTAAAACAACGCAACAGCACCAGAAAATGCACAAGAGCACAAGACCAGTCGAAAGGCATCGCGAAAAACAGAAAAAAATACATCATCGCACAGGGCGGCAGTAGAGGCTGCTCTCAACATACATTTCACGCCTCTACGTCCACATTCCTCCTTTGAAATCAAGATGAAACTTCACACCATTCAAATTCACGTCAAAAGAGACAAACGGCAGGCGCTCAAAAAAGGTCGGTTTTGTTTGGCTTCAATATGTTGTGTGGCTTCGAATTGGATCTCTTCACTTGGGACGCGGAAAGCCCAACGTTCGATGGGACGTGCGAGCGACGAAAACAACCTCAACAAAAACGAGTGGTGCTGTGTGAATGGAACACATTGGATCGCAACGAGTCGATGTCGTGATGAGGTACCTTTGTTACTTGTATCTGCGATGGCTATTGTTTACCCGCACCATGGGTTCGAAAAACATCAATACTCAATTGTGTAACACCGACGAGGGTTTGAAAGTTGAGGAGCTACAGCGTGACAGCAGGGTACAAACAAGACTCGGAAAGGGAGGGGCAAACACGGACAAACGCGCGACAGGCAGTCGACACACGGATAGTAAAAACCTTTCTGCTCTCATGAAACAACAGGAGCTAGGAGCAGTGGCGGTTGCAAGTGCGCTTTGGCTGACATGCGTGTCTTCTTTTCTACTGCGGCGAGAACGGAAACGAGAAGCGGAAAAGGGAACAACATCGTGTTGAGAGATACGACAGAGTGGAAATCGAAAGGGCGAAGCAGTGGCACAGGATAGCATGACAACGTGAGCCGTGAGCCGAGACACACCAGCAATCCGTGCACCGTATTACACAGAACACAGTGCTTTATGCAGTCGTATGTCGCATTCTCCTCGGGGAACTTAAGTTGTTTTGCATAAGCTTATTCTTCTGTTTCTGTGTTGTTTGCCCTTGTGAGCCCGCATTATTCACTCGGATCTAAAAACACAGCGCCAACCAAGAGGTCAAGTGTTTTGTAATTTTTGGGGCGCTTGTGATGGCAGAATCAGACGCAGATATTCACCGCTGATTTGAGCCCTAGACTACAAGCCGAGCTACACCAGCTGGGAAAAATAGTCGGGGGCACAATCTGCGGGGCCGCTTGGAACTGAAAATTGCAATGGTCAGTCGCCAGTTTATAGGAATGAAACCCTCGCTCGGATGCCTGATACAACAGAACACGATACGACCGAACCATTAATGTCGGAGAATGCATGTCTCATTCGCCTTAAGATCTGATAACACTAACTCACCACGGCCGCTTGTGCGAAAGCTTGAGCGGGGCGCCTCCAGGCCAACCGCAGGAGACTCGGCACCCCACCAGGCCCTACTGCCGACGTTTTCGTCGCCGCGTTTATCATCCCGAAGAAAGTTGCATTCGCATCCTGGTGGCCCACCACCGACGAAAGACTTGACGCCGGCACGACACCTACATGGCAATCGCAGGCTCGGGTCGTGAGTGAAAGTTGGGCTTCAAGGAAAACGAAAAACACTGCTAAAGTTGTGCCATGTTGCTACGTGCTTGGCGCCCGTACCGCAGCTCACTTTGTAATCCCGAAATCGCACAGGCTACACCAGTCTGTAAGGCTCCACCGGCGTACAAGTTCTAGGACCCGTTGGTGAACGTTGGGCGGTACGTTCCGAAAGACAAACGTTACGCGTACCAGAGTTTCTTTGGTCGTGCTTGAGGAAGTGGTCGCCCCTCCTGCAGCACTGCCACGGACTGTTCGATGCATTTGACACCATGAACTAATCATGTCTCTTACGGGAAATAGCGGGACAGCAAACCAAACGCATCACTGCTTCTAAGGAGTCTCTCGAGTGAATTGCCTGCCAACTAAATGAAAACTCTTATTTTTCGCATGCCCTGCAGAATATGTTGTTTCAACAAACTTGAGGTGATTCGTCAACAGCCTTTTACGATACATGAACTATCCATCGCACAAGCATGTTCGTCTAACCATTCACAGGACGTGCTTCCGTTGACTTCAAAGCGGTTGGCTCACCTAGAAGAAGTGACGAGGCATGGGAATCCATGCACAAATACTTCTCGTGGAATTCTGACGTGTTTTTGTACATATGGAGGTTTTGCAAAGCAGCCATGAAGCTCGTGAGCAAGACAGCATGGGCCGTCGTCTTCAAGAGCGGCGCCGTAGCCACCAGCAGGTTGACCACACCTGTCACGTTGGGACATGGACTTGGATGTGAGCAGTACGTCAGCGTCGTGTATCCCCTGTAACAGATCACACCAATCACCTGAAGGTCATGCCTAGCTCCCTTCCTGGAGTGTCGTACAACGGCGCTGGGATTTTACCCGATCACCCACCAAGATGATCGGCCAGGTTGCTCGTGTTGATGACATCGAACTCGAAGAATCCGGATGGCGTCATGAGCGCGTCCGCCCGTAGCTGCACTTGCTGCAGGGTTCCTTGCTGACAAAAGACGGGCGGAAACACGTCTTTCGGAGCTGTGACCGCGTTCTCCTCTCTCGACCGGGCCGACGAAAGCGCCGCAGACGCCGCCAGCAGCGCGTCGCAGCAGTTCAGGGCGTCGCCAACATGGATGATAATGCTCAGCTTCGCAGTAGCCTGCACGAATGCGCCGCACATCTGCGCGAGCTCTTCCAGAGCGGTGACGAACCAGACGTTCTGCGTATCACGCTGGGTTTTGGCGGTAGGCTTAAAGCTGAAAGGGGCCTGTGTTGCCCCGGAGCCGGCCAAGTTGAAGCCTTGGGGTTTGGTGACCTTGGGCGCAACCTTGCCGAACTCGCCTTGAAGATTCTCGGGCTGCAGCTTCCACCAACAGACTGTTAACGTTGCCAACGGTTTGGGGTGAAGTATGAGAATACAGGGTGTGGCGGTGCGTGTGTTGTACCTTTCACCAATCGCCAGCTCTTCAATGAAATTCCGCGTCCAATTACAAAAAGTTATGGCCCTTCATGATGGAAACGTGAATAATCTTCGAAAATCTCACCGTCGGTATGGAAGGCATCGAGAGGAAACGCCCCGTAGTGCAGCGAGTAGGCCATGCCTTTTGTCTCCGTCACCAGCAGGAGAGGGTTGACGAGGTCGAAGCCACCTCGTTGCTTCCCGGATTCTACCCCATCCTCCAGCAGCAACGGGAAAGGATCGAGAACACCTTTCTTCAGGACTGGACGGGGGCCGGAACAACGATAGCGGACATCGAAGGCTGGTAAAAGAATCGCCTGCCGGATTGTTGCCTTCAGGAAACGGTATTCCGTAGCTCCACGTCCCAAAAATGTCCGTGTCGCCCAAAAACATATCAACTGCAACCGCGGTAGTATTGCAAAACAACATGGAGGGACTGGTGCACACAAACCTTCAACGCCCACGCGGCCTCACAGTACAAAGCACACATTACTGCTGCGCGTTTCTTACATTCACGTCTCATCTCAGCGTACGGATTCATGCAGTCGCCTTGTCGAAACGACGCTAGGCCCATTGCCCGAGAGTGGATGCTGAGGTCGTCCGTGGGCGGGCAGTAGGTGCCGATGACGGCAGCACGTTCCCGCTTCACGCGGGCAGCCTCGCCCTCGCGCTGCAGGCTCCCGTCGGCGTACGCGGCCAAGATCTTGAGAATACGCTTTTGGCTGCGATCGTCCGCGAACCGAACGAGTTGCCCGAGCTCGGCAGAGGCCCAAGTGCTCGGAGATTCCGCCGCCGCTGCAAGTCTGCGAGCCACGCTTTCGATCATCTCCAACACTTCCGCGTCGACAAACGAATTGTACATCGAGCTGAAGATCACTCCGATCCTCTGGGCGAAGGCGACGGCGCTCGAGCCGGGGCCCGGACCATGGCCACGAGAGTTGCCCCCCCGGGATGATGGTTTCTTCGTGCCGCTCTTCTTCTTAGTGGTCGACCCCGACGACTCCAGAATATCCCGAGCATCGAGAAACATCTGTAGCAGCATGAGGTTCCTGGCGTGGATCGCGGGCTCCCAATCGTTCATCATGAACGAAAAGCGGCGTGGGACGGGCCCGCAGCTCACGCCGCGTCTCCCATGAAGAAGGACCGAGTAGAGGAAGTCACGAAGGTCGCCACAGCCAAGGCTGAGGATCTCTGCATGCGGCGCATCATGGGGGATATGCTGCAGAAGGTCCGTCGGTGGAGTGTTTCCTGCAGGGTGGGCACATTTACGCCAGCAAAACACGTTACGCATCAGCATTTTGCTGAATTCTCGAGGAAAAGTACTCCACGCAAGGTACGCCAAAGTCGTTTGCTCGTCCGCCGATCCCAGAGCGTTCCATCTCAGTCATGCAGAGTCAATATAAACGCAAAACAGAGAGATGAGTGGATGCCTTCTCACCGTAAGCGTAGAAGAAAAAGATGCTGACGAAGTGTGCTGACTGCGTGTGGACGGAGTGCTTCGCATCAGCCATTGTATCAGCCATCGCACCTCGAACCCCTGCTCGATCAAAGCGTAGTGAAGCAAGGGGGCGAGAACGTGAGAGGGGTGAGGGTTGTAGCCAATGTCCACTTGTGCGAGTTGTCTCTCGAGGGAAAGACTCTTTCGCGAAAACCAACAGCCAAACGAAAAAAAGAGTCTAGTGGTGTCCATGGCCAACTCACACGCCCGCTCATGATGTAGCCTAACGGCTTTTGGTATCTCTAAAACCTCGGCCATGTAGGCATGAAATCTCAGGAAAATCTCACCTGTGTCCTGCATACCGCCCGCTGCTGGGGTAGCGCACGGTTCGTGTGAGTTCAGGATCTCATTGAGTCCGTCATCCAGCATCTGCTCCAGAGACTCCCCCTCCGCTTGCACCCCTCCTGCCGGCTCATCGGCCATTGTGTGGCCGTTGACCTGCAAATAGCCGTTGGATATTGGTTTGCTCCGGTGAATTTGAGCTGGGTTTGGTGAGGAAAAGAAGGGAGAAACCTTTTATAAACAGAAACATACCGTATTCATGGGCAGGTCGTCGAGTCGACTGAAAGATCTACCACCGGTGGACTCGTTGTACATATTTTTCACGGATTATTGGTCCCTGCCGGCAGCAGGGCTGTGAGTGTTGCGCAACATGTACGGTTACTATTTTCGTCGAAGCTGTTGTTTCTCAGGTCGGATCATCGCAAAACACGCCAGCATCGCACAACAAACGCTGTAGAAAAAAAGAATATGTAGGTACATAGTGAGACCAAGAAAGAAACAGAACGACAGTCCACCAAAAAGGCATGCATTTTTTTTTTATATCAGCAATGTAGATGCACACCGTGTTGCGCAGAGCAGTACCATTTCCCATACCCAATCTTGTACTGCTGTACTATCTTGTGTTGAGGCGGTTGCCCTTACCAGAACCAATAAACTGCCAAAGATCCAAACGGGAAAATGCGAGCGTGGTGTAAACACCCCTCAAACATGTAGACCGGAGCCCAAGTGATCGAGCAATGGTGTTGTCTCGGTGCTCTGCTGTTGTTGTGATCCGCGGTGTGTGATTCCCTCTAGCATTTCGGGGGGATGTCCGCCTGTACCGATTGCAAGCTTTCCCTGATAGGGAAAGGGGTGTAAGATCCGATACTAGTTCCGATACCAGTTCTGACGTTTGCAACTGCTGTCTACTTTAGAGTAATTGATCGACACAAAAGAGGGACTTCTGGGAGTGATGGCGGGTGATGGTCGATCTTGCCTCGCCCTGGCGAGTGTGTTATGACCTTGGAATGTTTTCATCTTTGGTGCTGCTACAATGGGCTGTCGTTTCCTCATCCTGGTATGGTCCGTGCACAAGTAAAAATCCCAAAATTTCCCAGCACAAATGACAACTTTTCTCTGCACACAGGTGGTTGTTCGGAATTCTGAAAATACCGGAAAACGCCCTGTTTACAGGCGCATCGCGTGACGAAGAGTTTTTTTTTTTTTCCTTGACTTTTTATCTCCGATAAACCGGAAAATCTTGTTTTGTTTTTCGAGAGGTGTGTTGTTTGTTGATGCCACCAAACTCAACGGTTTTGGACAGATCTCGGAATTTGCCAGGTGGGATTTTTTTTTTTTTGAAATATTCGAAATTGACGGAGATATACAGGGAAAACTTGATTTAAAGGGTCAACTTGTTTTGTTTTATATGCAATAACTAACCGACCGATTTCAAAATAGAGTGCGGCAAACGATTCCTCTCGACCATCCCCAGGTGGGAATTTCTTGGTTTTGCTGGGAAAAATATGGTTCTCGAGATATTCGCGTTGTTGTTGTTCCGCGCCATGCGGTGACTTTTTTTTTTCCTGGGCGCACGCGGTGCCCAACAACTGCACACACGGCAACCCGAACAACACAAAACACGCACACAAGCACCATGGGGAAGGCTAAGGGACGGGCAAAGA